TGTTGCTGTTACCTAAGTTAAACATATGACATTTCCATTTGCTGCCAACGATGATTCTCTTGAAATAGCACATTTATTTTAAACTTCTCTTACAGAAAAAAATCAATTTTCTTAACCCTCATGTACTGTTGTTTTAATACAGAAATCTTTAATGATTAGTAAGATGGTGCTGATCTAATAGTTTAGAAGCTCCACCAGCACCAGTGTGGCTCTAGAAAGGATTAAAGACTGGGAATCAGGAACTTTGGCTTCAGGTCCAGAATTCTGACTTTTGCCACCAGCCCGAGTTTATTTTCTTACTGTTGACTAAATTGGAAGACTTGGAAGATGTTCAAACCTCTTTACCGTCATTCTGTCCTTAAGAGAGCACCTGTTGGGTAAGACTCTTAAATTGGGCCTGTTATATGGAATCGAGCACCGTTTTGACTGTCTTCCATCGGCATTCTGATGTTCCCAAAGAATGGAAAGCCCAACTCCACTTAATGGACACTCAGTTGAGGGTCTTCACAGGCCAAATGCCTAATGTGGATTGCATTGGATATTTATTTTTTCATTAGGCAACTGATGAATACCTACCATTTTGAGGCACTGGCTAATTTATTTACTTATTAATATGAGTTTGCAGTACCTAATAATTACATACTTTGAGGGGAGTTAGTAAGTACATGTATATAACACCTCTTAACATATTTCATCTCCTTCTCCTCCTCTCTCTTCATCTTCTTTCCGTATCTTGGCTCCTTTCCATTTCACTTTTGCCATAGGCACTGTTTTTAGACACTGGCGTTTCTTTCAATGAAATAGAAACTTGTCCTCATATAGTTATGGCAGGATAGAAACTCGAGAAAAATTAATAAGCCAGCTCTGTTAGGTATTGGTGTTCATGTCTTCATGGACATGATCCATGGAGCTGTACCCTTGGAAGGCCTTCTCCGCAGCATAGCTCTGCGTGAACCAGACCTGAATCTGTGTCATCAGAGTTACTGTACTTTTAATCCTTCCTGGGCAAAACCGTTACATTTCTTCTTCCTGCTCCTGTGTCTCCCCAAACACTTCCCCCATGGAGATATTGAGAGATGGTTTTTCTGTCTGTGCTTGAGTTTGAGTGGACTTTTTGTATTAGCTTCCAGAGATACTCATGGCATTGTGTTTCCAGGCAGGGTTTATAGGAAGGAGCGGTGGGTGTTCCTTCCATCTTACAATCTCCTTATTGGGGAATCCCTTCAGCAGGACAGCTTCTGAAAACCCAGTCATCTAATCCTCCCCACTGCCACACACTTAAATAATTCAGGGTCAATGCTTCTCTCTCTTAACGAGACTCCATGCTTCAGGGAAATGAAAAGCAATTTTCAACAAAATGCTGAGATTTTCCTTAATTTAGGTAAATAATCAGTATTCTATTTCTTATAACACTCAGTATTATACAGACAATAATTTATTTTTGCAATGTGTTACCTTTCAAAACTAGACTAGTGTAGTGAAATATATCCTGTCAAGATATTTTATGAGTTTCCTATTGCTGTTCTAACAAAGTGCCAAAGATTTGGTTGCTTACCACAACAGAAATATATTTTCTTATAGTTCTAGAAGCCAGAGTCCCCAAATTATCAAAATATCAGTGGGTGGGCTGTCTTTATAGAAGCTCCAGTGCAAAAGGCATTCCTTGCCTCTTTTAGCTTCTAGTAGCTTCAAAAATCAAGAATTCATTAAATTGTGATAGTAGCCCATCTTCCAATAACCTCTTTCACTTCCTCCCCTTCTTTCTCCTTTTCTTTCTCTTTCTTTCTTTCTTTTTTCTTTTTATGTCTTTCTCTCTCTTTTTCTTTCTTTCTCTTTCCTCCTTCCTTCCTTTCTTCTTTCTCTTTCTCCTCCTCCTCCTTCTTTTCCCTCCCCCCTTCCTATTTCTCCCCTCCCTCCATGTCTAACTAATGTGAATTAGTTAGGGTTTTTTAGGACAGAATTAAGCAAAAATATATGTATAAGTATGCAACAGCACTTATTAGGTAGCTTATAGGATGAGTGGAGGGATGTACACAATGGCAGTCTGTGCGCTGGAGAGCTGAATGATCCCGTAGTTGCTCAGCCCAAGAAGACAGAAGCTACAGGACAAGAAGGATCAAGTCCAAGGTCCAAAGCACCAGTCCAAGGTCAAAGGCCTGAAAATTCACTGGAGATTTTCTGTGCTTTGTTAGAAGGCTGAGAATACTGGAGACCTGGAAACTGATGACTCAAGGCTGGAGCTCTTCAAAGTAGACACATTTCCTTTTTCTTTCCTTTTAAAAACCATCCAGGCTATAATCTCATTGGTTGGTGTCACCCACAGTCTGGGTTGGATTTCCCTCTTCAGTTTGCTGGCTCATGTGTCAGTCACCCACAGCCACATCCAGAGTTGTGCTTTAGGAGTCTGCTAGGTGTTTCTCACTGAAGTCAAGGGGACATATTACAATTCATGGTCACCATGTGTGTCTCCAGACCCTTTCTTATAAAGACCCATGTGACTGTGCCCAGGATTCATTATTTCTAACAGGATCCCTTACTTAGCCACCATGTTTGCAACAGGTGGTAATAGCTACTCTTTTGCCATATGAGGTAATTTTCATAGGGTCTGGAGATTAGAAAGTGACCACATCTTTAAGGGGATATGATTTTCACCCTACCACATACTTTATACTTATCAGAAGTCCATTTTTACTTGGATACACTATTTAAAATCAATATAAAAAAATCAATATAAAAATATATTTAAAGTCAATATAGAACTGTCTGGCGTTCAATAAACTATGCATTTCTAATACATATGGTATAGCCAACACTGAGAAATGTTTTTTCTATTCCCTCTCCCTGTCACACATTGGATCTTTCTTATTGTACTGAAGGAGAGTTTAGCATATATTTCATTTACTCATGCATTCACATTCTTTCAGCAAATACTTATAAATAAATATCATAAGGATGCAGGTTTGAGCCAGCCAGTTCCAGTAACTTAGCTCAGTTAATTCTCTAAGAAGTGATTTAAAGTAGAGTTTAACACAGTGATTAAAATTTGATCTAAATCAGACTACATTCAAATCCTGCTCCACCATTTTCAGTTCAGGAGGAAGTTGTGTCACCTCTTTAAGGGTCATATTTTCTCATCTGTAAAGGGACATATAAAAGCTCAAATAGTAGGCACTCTATACATGGAAGCTGTGGTTGTTTTTGTACCCATTTGGATGAGAAATTGGGTTCACTTGCGGGGTAATTTACTCAGTCTCATACGTGTATGCCTTAAAGCCTTTGGGCCGTTTACCACATCGTTCTAGAATAATCTCCCTGTGTCTGTACCTCACCGGTAGAAGTTTCTATGGGCTGCAACCCACTGACAGGGAGGACTTATATTAAAGGATGTTATAGAATTACATAAATACTTCTATACAAGGATAATTTTCATAAAAACTTCACAAACTATCTGACATTTGTTCTTAGCATCAACTTGATTATTTACTTTTTATTATATTATGTTAAAATATATAAAATATCCTTTGGCTCTTGCTTCTCCCTTAATACTATCTCACTTCTCTCCTATACCACTTTACAGGTGTATACACCCATGCTCATAAACATGAAGCTTTAGTATGTTCTCCACTTGGGCCACACTGTGGGGAAGATCTACCGAAACCAGACAGATGGTATCTAAGGCACCGTAGTCAGAAAGCATGTTTGCCTTGCAGACCCAAACCCTACACATTGTACAGTCTGCTCTATGCTCTGGCATGCTCCCTCACATGGACTCCGTCAGGGCTCCCATCCCCTTTTGCCTTTCTTTGGATCTTTGCAATGGTGGGAGGACAATGAATTTCGAGCACGCCTTACTTCAGCTCCTTCTCCACGGTGCCTTCTTCACAAAGCTGCTCTGCTCTTTTCTCACACTTCAGTTTTAAGGGTCCTCACTACTGGTTGTTCCAGGCAGTGAACCGTTTGGATAGATTTCCCTAAACTTTGCCTCACATTTGTAAACTGCCACAATTAAATTATCTTCAGATAACCCGGTTTGAATGTGACATCCATTTCTTACCCTGACTAACATAAGAAGTTCACATATTTGGTTATTGGCTGTCCCAGAGGGTAGAGAAAGGCCCTCAGATTTTCAATTGATTTCTAGCCTTAGAGAAAGATCCTTTATATCTTAGTGTTCATTGGCCTGAGTTCGCCATAGAGAAATACTGTGTGTTTATTCGGCTCACACCCTGAATCTGAAAAAAGTCCTTGGGGTTGGGAGAAGAAAAAATATGTGGAAAGTCTCATCATAGTGAAAACATAATCTGGAGGAAAATATGTACAAATAATTATGTGTCCACTTTGTTTCTTCATTAAACACCCGATTCTAGTACCCTGCCTGAGAACACGAGCTGTTGTTTCCCTCTTTCCAAGTATTATTGTACTTACATCCCTAGCTTATTCCAGTTCCACCATTTAGTAGTTTCATGATCGGAGATATTACTTAGTTATTTCATAGGTGCTATAAGGATAAAGGGATTAATCACTGTCGTGATGGACGCCACGGTTCAGCACTGAGCAATGCCTCTCCCTGTCCCTTTCCAGGAATTGCTCTTCAGTGAATGAACTGCCTTGCTTGGTGGAGTCAGTTGAGGTTCCCGCCATCACTCTCTCATAGTTCAATTTCCCCCCCACCGTCAGTATCAAGTGGAAAATATTTTGGAAACTTTAGTAAGACATACACCCTCCAAATGGTTAATGATAGATGTGTAAGATCCAAGGAGTTACCACATTAGTGTAGTGTTAGGGATCTGTTAGTCTAGAACCAAGTACATCTTTCCAGAGGTTAAATAAAATATGTAGTAGCATTCATTTCCCACCACAAAAAAGAAGGGTATTAGCTGGTTGGCACTTTGGCATTCTGAAGGCAGAGCAATCCACACACTTGGAACTCATAGTCTCTTCCTTCTTTTGATTTAAATGTTGGAGTTTAAATGTCTCCTTTATTTTTTTTTCTTTTACAGGTACCATCTTTTACTTAGCATCACAGAACATTAATGTGAAATGGAATCACAACTTTATTCTTCTGATACCTGGATCATGGATTTAGAGGCTACAGAACTGTGAGAAAAGAACTGCAAGAAAACCAAATCTTGTTTGTTTAAGCCCTCTTCTGCTTGTATTTTATTATGGAATCCTTACAAAACTAAAACATCCCATCATCCAGTTACTGTTATACATGGGGGTGCAAAAAGTTCAGCCCTGTTGGTTCAACTTGGGACAAATCTGAACTCATTCCACCTCAGATCCAGGGTTCTATCAGCTGATCCTTGTGCTATAATTGAAGTAAAGTTCAGATTCTCTCTGCCTCATCCTGCCTCTACTGGATGTATTTCTTAGAGCTCCCCAATAAATTTCTTGCATATAAATATCTGTCCTAGAGCTTACTTCCTGAGGATATGACTGAAGAGGCATGTTAACTATATGAAAGAGTACAGCAAACATTGCATTCATGTAAGTAGTTATTTTCAATGTTATTTGTATTCCTACTCTTCTAAGACTTCGCACATATGAGGTAGGTATTTATTATTACTTTATTTGCTGAGGGAATACATTTGGGCATGAATGAACACATGAATGGATAGATGGGTGGATGGGTGGGTGGGTGGAGAAATGGGTGGATGGGTGGATGGGTGGATGGATGGGTGGATGGATGGATTTTGCACTAATTGTGCTTTCCCCAAATGATATATGAGTAAAGCTGCAGAGCCACATTTAGCTTGATCAAGAAACTATGGAGAGGAACTGAGACGGAAGAAGGTATCTGTGGCATGCCTCTTAAAACCTGCAGAATGACAAAAAAAGGTATAGTGTTCTCCACTTGCATAATCTCTCCTCTTGTGTGTGTGTGTGTGTGTGTGTGTGTGTATTTCAATATCAGAATAAAGTGAAATGAATGGATATGGAATAAAAGAGTTAATATTTTTATGGCAATGACATTTTTACTCGCTGTATCTCCTCCTACTTTTTTATTGCCTCAGCTCCATTCCCTTTTAGTTACATGGATGATAAGTATCGAACTGAACCACAGAAATAATATCAAGGGCATTTCAAGAGTATAAACATTGCTGACAGCTGCACTTTTTGCCAAATTTTATTTAGTTTGCACCTGCATGGTAGAGCCATTGAGACTCAGAGAGAATAAATGTGGTGAGATTATTTATTGGATGTTTGTGGTTGGTTGCAATTTTTTTTTGTCTTGGACAGATTTTCTCCCAGTCTAAGAAAAATGGGCTTAAGTAGTATTAGCATAAAGTCTGGTCAATAATCTTTTCTGTGTTTTATAGAAAAAGAGTTCATTGAAAATATTATGTGGAATAGGAAGAAAAGGTGCAAAGGGGAAGAGGAATTGGGAGGGGCAGGGAAAGGAAAGAGGGGAATGGAATTAATGTGAGGAAACGGAAACAAAGTCTTTGTAAATAGGGAGGGGTGGGGGGTTGAACAGAGGGCAGGGGAACGGGAAGAAATAAGAACCAAGATACATTATGTAAAGGCACAAATCTCCAGTGATGAATGTCACTATATTGTATACTTAAAATGTACCAATAAAATTAATTTAAAAACATGAAATCATTCTGTCAAGGCTGTGATTGGAGCAAAGAAATGGAAGGATTGCAAACTGAGAATTAATTGAAGGCAATTTCTTGGGAGCAGACACAGGAAGTTTGAATATCGTAGTCGTAGGAGCTATGGTTACCCTGAGCAATGTCCCTAGTGTCTACTTCAGAAACTCTGAACTTGCGCTGCTTCTTCCCCTGGAACGCTCTTCCCTCCTGCTCTGTCCCGTCTTACCAACTTCCCAAATGTTTCACTCTTAAGCACTCATTCCCTTATTGCCTACTTTATTTATTTTTTTTCCTTATCGCCTACTTTAAACTATAGCTCTTACCATCCAGCCCAGCAGATTCACTAGCTAATTTTGCCCCATGGCATTTATTTCAGTAGGAAAATACCACCTATTTCATTTATTTTACTTTATTTTTTAAAGAAAAATCCCCAAACTGTGAATAGTTCATCTTACCAAAAGCATTAGTTTTTGTACAAAATATAAAGAATTTTATACTATAACCAAAGACTGTTGTACATGTATTTAAATTAGAATTCTATCTGATTTTCCTCCAATTCTTCTTGAGCACAAAGCATACGGTATTTTCAAGTCAGAAAGCTAATCACCTCAAAGGACAGACTGTCTCAGAATCAACTTTTTCCCTGACATATCGAGAAAGATAGTATTCATTCTTTCCTTTTACTCAAAATCCAGTACACCAGTACATTTTAATTTAGTTTACAAAATTCTGACATATTAACATGAAGAACTTACTAATGCTTACTATTTAAGCATTATCTTTTAGGAAATAATATAACACAGAGCTTAACACAATATCTAAGTGGTAATAGTCTAATAATTAATTCAGAAAACCTTAACAACTTCTGTCAAAAATTACCAACAGGGGATTTAGCTCAGTGGTTCTGCTGCCTGCCTCACAAGCACAAGGACCCGAGTTTGATCTCCAGTACCAAAACAAAACAAAACAAAACAAAAAAACAAACATAAAAATCAAACAGATCCCATACCTCTTACCAGGTCATTATTTTCTCCTATTATGTCATTATTCTATTTCCATAGTCTTTCTATGAAAGAAACACAACTTAAATAAAACCTGGTTAGAGTAAGTCATAGAAAATAGTTCTCAAACACCAGGTGAACTTCAAATGTGATCATCAAAGAAATATCTCTGCAGGCAAGGATATTCATATAGCAATATAATTTTGGCCTGTTATGATAGTGTTAAATTGACTTTTATAATCTTTTAGCATTTGAAAACTTTATTGTCTAAAATCTTTCCCAATAGAATTATAAGAAGCGCAATAATTTTAAAAAGAGCCTATATTAGGATATTCATCTGAAATTATACAGTCCTGATATTGATATTTTAATCCCTAACTGAAAATAAAATTAAATTTTATGAATTGTACTGAAAGTTTTTATTTCCCTGGATCTCCTAATTATGTATATACTTCATTATCACCTTGTATTATCATTACAGTAATAATAATAATTATTATTATTTTATAAATGAAGCTTTGACACTTGAGACCTTAAAAAAGATCCATGACCTAAAATATGTATAGCTCTGGCTTTATCTTTTTTTTCCTGTTTATCTCAGTTCTCATTTTTATCATCTAAGGAGTTAAAGGTTTGCGATTAAGGAGGTATGACTTGCAGGGCATGGTGGCACACTCCTGTAATCCCAGCACTTGGGAGGCTGAGGCAGGAAGATCGCTGTGAGTTCGAGACAAGCTTGGGCTACATAGTGAGTTCCAGGTCAGTCTTAACTACATAGTGAGACCCTGTCTCAAAAAACAAAACAAAACAAAATAAAACAAAAAAAGGAGGTATGATTTAAATTATGGCTAAAAATAGCAGATGATACTATAAGAATTCATATGTATTCTGTATTTAGAGTAACTTTTAACAAGAACATAAGTAAAATCATTGTAAAATTCTTATCTAGTATGGGCAATTATACTTTAAAATTTTTATCTGTTTTAAAAAATTTTTTGGTACTGGGGATCAAATTCAGGACCTTGAGCTTGCAAGGCAGACAGTGGCCCACCAAGACAAATCCCTGGGCTTTGGGCAATTGTACTTTAATATGTCCTCTGAAAACATCTTTCCTAAATGAAGTTTCTATGACTACTACAAAAGTATTCTTTCCACTCATGAAATTCTACACAGCATCATTAAAGCACCAAAGAAAATTCTGTAAAAAAACTTTTAACCAGTAAACTAAGGGCAAATATCCATTTGCCTTTATTACAATATTTTAAATGCCATGATGTGAACTTCTACTTACAACAGTGAACATTTCTATAATAAAAATTCAAGCATATTTATGCAAACAAGAAACAATTGCTGTACATTTTGGAGAACCTAGACATACAGACTATAATTTTAGTTAGTAAAGTGAGCACAAGAAACTTATAAAATGTATGCAATGTATATAAAAATTCAGTATTTTAGTTTCATTGAAGGGATTCATAATTATTAGAAATAAAAGATGGTAGTTCCCTTGGCTTATAATTATCTTGTAAACAGTAAGAAAGTGATAAACAAGGGCCAGGGATTTAGCTCAGTTCTGCTGCCTGCCTCTCAAGCGCAAGGACCTGATTTCCATCCCAGGTACCAAAAAAGAAAGAAAGAAAGAAAGTGATAAACAAACAATGAATTAAGAAATTTATCTCCCAGCATCTCCTTCTTCTTGTACTGGAGTTGCTATTGTAACCATTAAAATTGTCTCTCATTTATTTTTTAATTGTCTGCTTTCTCACAAAGAAATGCAAGCTCTTGACTACAGAGGTTTTTTTCTTGCTTTACCTCTTGATGTTCAGGTTTAACAGCAACTATAGCATAAATAGTTGATGAATAGATGGTTATAATCCCAGGATTGTTATATATCTCCGAATGGTGAGAAAGACACTGTACTCTGTGAGGTGAAATTCTTTCAAAGTACAGTAGACTTAAGTTTGATTAACATGTATCCCAATTTAAAGAAAATTAAATACTTGATATTTAGGATGATCAATACCTATGTTTCTTCATCACAACCACCATAAAAGAATTCGCTTTACAAAGAAAGTGTGAAATGGTGAAACAAATAAGATTTGTGCTAATTATTCATTTCTCCTGAGTTTATAATGATTAACAGAGCTAATTAGAATTTAAAATAATGACAATAACCATATAAATAGAACAAAATATATTACCAATCACCTCAAAGAGGTACTTTCGCTTTGTTTCAGTTAAATGGTGTTTTAAGATTATTTAACCTTTTAGAATTAGCATAGAATTACGAATTCTGTGTGTACGACCCAGAATTTCTGCAATTTATCTTCTCATCCTTCAGTCTTGTCTCAATAAAAAAAGAATTACATATCAATTTGAAACTTGCCAAGAAACAGAACAGATCTCACATTCTGAGTTGTCAAATCACAGAATTCTATCCCCATCTCAGAATAAACTAAACCATGAGAAATATCTAACAGATTTCTGAGGAATACTGTAAATGAAATCATTACTTCCTCAAGTTCATCTCCCCAGAGATTTGTATACAATTTCAGAGGTGTGGACTCCTGAAACCTCTGAAAAAGTCCAGTTGACAATCTCTGCTCCATTGTAATACAAAACATAAACATTTCCATGTTACTGTAAAAAAAAAGCAACTCAAGAATATGATTATAAGTAGGTTATTACAAGGGAAACATTTATCAATGAGAAATGTCATCAACCGAAGGAAAGAGAGGCTGCAGTTTTATACTATGACAGACTCTTTGACCAAATTAAGCTCTTCAGAGCCTTTTCCTCAACTAGGCCTTACTGTGCCCTTCCTTGCAGTCCATCTTAGCAAGACTCTCATTAAATCTGTTTGGCAAAAATATTCGGTAGCTGACCATTGTTGAGACCTGAGCAAGTTCACCCTCACTTTTGCTGTGTAAGTCCTTAGTCTGCTCTTGGAAGAATCATATTAGGCCAGTTTAGCAAGAATCCTCATACTTCTTCTGTCTCCTTTTAGTACTTTTATATTCATTAACTCCCCCATTTTGTTCTTTGGCTATAGATCCTTATTTTTCCTTGTCGTGTGCAGAGTTGCCCTCTTTCTCTTTTCTTTTATTAAATTTTATGGCAATACTTTGACTAAAACTTTTCTTACTGTTTTATCAAACACCAGAATTTATTTTTCTATCTCAATATGCAGGTAAACAAGAAAGACATCAAGGGTCTTTTTGGGAAACAT